TTCATCAAAGCTCTACCCAAGTATATCCAAAATGCTTTCAGCACGGTCTACCCTAACACCAACAAAGTCACTCTCACAGAGACTATCGACTGGGTGACGTCTTATGAACATAGCCATCCCCAACATTCTCCGACAAACCTTGCAGCGAAGATTACCTCTACGACGACGGACGACACCAGCCAGAAGAAGTCCCAAGTTTGCCTTAACTATCAACGAGGAAGATGCCTCTTCGGCGACAAGTGCTCCAGACTACATGAACCCAAAGATATGACTACTACATCTACTATAGGCTCTCGTCCAACATCAACTACCACTACAACATCAACTCGACCAACCACATCAACAGGCCTGGCTTCTATATCCGACCAACATAATATGCCCATCAAGCATGTTATTCTTTAACTTCTACCTAACCAAGTTCTAACTGCTATGCTCGATACTGGCTGTACCGACTCGATCATCAACAAAACCAAAACACCACCTTCTGCCCTACGTGAACTACAACCTCTACAACCGCCAACTACTATTACATGTCTCAATGCAACAACTGTCAACTACACTCACTATATCCCTCTCACTTGGTCATTCGAAGGCAACTCCATCAACCACTCTACCAACTTCTTGATTTCTGAAGACCCTCTACCAGCGTCCATCGATATGGTCATTGGTCTCAAAGCTCAACAAAACAACAACTTTTACCTCAACCCTATCACGAATACTATCTCGACTACGACTACTACTACGACTAAGCCGTCACAAATTACTCCTGCCAAGATAACTTCATCACCTACTACAACATTTCCATCCCCGACACCAATCACTCCATCCCCAAAAGACCATCTCTACGCAGCTCTAGATTACGAAGTTCTCCACATTATCTACGACGGATCACGGTTACGAGTGTATCAAGTCCAAATTTCAAACGGTCCATGTTTTCTCGCTGATGTCTCAATACAAACTCGTGATTCACGGGTCGTGAAGAAGCCCAATGAATCACATCTCACGAGAAGCACATCCACAAGAAATGGAAAGCTGCTGATGATGATTTACGCCATCTCACCAAACCGACCGTCTCACCAAACTTGTCACTGATGGGAAACTTGTCCCAGCTGACAGCACTGCTCTCACCAATACTGCAACTTCATTCTACGGTGTACGAGGACGTAAACGTGCAAGACCTGTCTTCGTCTACTATCTCCTGAACACCTTCCTCAAGAACATTCTCAAAGCAGATCCAGTGCCCTACCTACAAGAACCTTAGTGACTGCACTAAGATTCGAGCCCTGTCTTTAGAGTTACGACGTTAAAGACGCCTTCTTCCAAATAATGCTCGGTCCTTCCCTATCATCTATGTGTACCCTTCACTACCCCGTCAATTCTACCGCCACTACTACCAAACTGATGATGTTCAAATATATGCCCTATGGTATAACATTAAGCTCATTGATACTGGATCTCTGTATCACCCATACTCTCAACAATCTCCCCAACGACAACCCCAATATCAAACACATCCATTACGTGGATGATCTAGCTCAAATAGCTAAGTCCAGAGACGAGCTAGAGATCGTCCAGAGATCTCAAGTAGTCCAGAGATCTAGCTCAAAGAGACTTCTTCAATCTCAACAACTATACTACACCTAACGGTCTACCTTTGACTACCGAAGATATTCTCTCCGAAGACGAGACTACATTCTACGGTGTAACACTCACTGACGGCGCGGCTTGTATCTCTTACTCACACTCAAGATGGCAAAAGCTACTTGATTCTACACTACCTCCTGAACCTACACTTCGGCAACTACTATCCATCGTTGCCAAGGTCACCTATCAGCCTGACCTACTACCTCCTTTCGTTGAGCCCTGCAAAAATCTACTACAATCTGAGCTTGCTGTTGCTGTTAATTCTACTGATTAGGACTCGCCTGCAGAAGCATCACTCGTCAATCTAACCCAATGCTTTCTCGAACTTTGCCGCAAGTCCGAATTACAGGTAATGAAGCGTTATATCGATGCCAACCAACCATCAAAATCTACACCGATGCATCTGCCTACTGCCTTGGTCTCATCGCCTACCAAAACGATCAACCTATTTTACTCCGTCAACGAGTACTCTCTCCTCGTGCTAAGGATCTCTACCACACTAATACTAAAGAACTGAATGGCATTGCCTTCGCCATCGAGACCATTCGTCTTCTTGAAATAGATTGTCGAGTACATTTCCGGTACATCACCATCTACACCGACAACAGTGCTGCCCAATCTATCATCCTCAATCAGAGGGTATCTTCTGTCCACGGTAAGCAAACGGTTCATCTACTAAAAGTCCTACGCTACCTACAAGATATAACTGACTACATCTACTCAACTTCATCGCTTCTCCGTACTTCACTGT